CTGCCTTGAACGTTCAACAAAAATAATAATGCACTAAGCATTGTAGTTAATTAATAATGGGATCCTATCATTATAAACAAACTAAGTAAAGATTAATAATTCTTAATAATGTAGTGCGTTCCCCTATTTTTCACAGCAAACTTGTTAGTCGTTTATTCCTGACCCCAGGAAATTTTCAAAATTAATCATCTATTTCATTTTTTTAATGTTTAAATAAAACTTATGTCAAATGTAATAATCCATATTTATAGATTTTAACTCAAAATGAATCTGACTTATTTTATAGTAAGAAAATATTTAAAAAATTGATATTTAACCACGTGCATTGCACGTGCACAAGAATTAGTCTCATACATAAATTTCAGTAAAATTGTATGTATGATTGAATAGTTATTGCTATATTTTAAGTATAAGTGTTGTTCAATAAAGTAGTTTGTTAGCCATTTGTATTATACTGGAAAAAAACTCTACTTCTGTTATCGTCTTGGGATTGCTAGTTTTAGGAGAATAAATTGCAGATAAAACTCTTATTAGGGGGTGCTTAGTGTTAGTAAATAAACTGCAGGGTGCTAAATGTTATGTAGGTATAGATGAGGGCTTTATATGTAATTTACACTATATATCTATAACTTTTAGGGGCTCTCCTAGGAACAACCTTAAAATAGGATCATTATACAAAAATCACTTTTCATTTTTAATTTATACATAAACCATCTTTAAAGTGGATTTTTGTTCCAATCAACCCCCTCCAAATCAATTTTCTCTAAAAATCCAAAAATTCTCTTAAAAACTCACATGAATCACTTTGTTAATGTTTAGGTCTAGTAAGGATGCAAGTCACATACCTTAGACGTTTATTTATTTAACTTATTTTTGGGGTTTTCAGTGAAAATTTGATTGGGGGTGTTAGTCAATTGGGACATTTTTATGCAAAATGGGATAATTGTTAAAGTGGAATAATTTTTTGCTAGTGGGATATTTTAGTGGGATAAATAGGAACAATTTTATGAAGCGGGATATTTTGATAAAATAACATGGAATAAATTTTTATAATCATGAAATATATATTTATGCATTTTGAAGATAAAAATACTATTTATGTATTGCGCGGTCGACCCTCACGGTCGACCGCCGAAGCGGGTTTGGGCTGATTCTGAGTTCTAGACCCGTTTCGTTTGGGAGTTGTATATATACCCTTAACTCGTTTTTAGGGTTTATGGGTGAGGATTTTGAGCTGAAGAAAGAGGAGATTTTGGGCTTTTATTGTTGGAGCCATTTGGAGAGATTAAGATGGCTTATTTGTGGGTTTTGGTAAGATTTGTAACCCTAATTTGTATTCCCCTTGATTTCTATTAGTAAAATTCTCCCCTCCTTGCCCCGTGGACGTAGGCACATTGCCGAACCACGTAAATTTTGTGTTCTTGTTGTGATTGTGTGTTACTTGTATTATTGTGGTCTATTATTGGTTCTTGTGTGTGCTATTGACTTGTCGAATCGGCTTCCTTCTTTACTATTAAATAACTTTTGGTTAGACTATAAGATATTGACAATTATTATTATAATGATGGTCTAAAGATGGTGATAACCATAATAGGAAAGAAGTAAATAACAAAAGAAATATAAAAATAAAAAATAACAAAATAAATATGAGTTCTAGTTTTTTACCACCTAGTTCCAAGTTATTGTGGTCTATTATTGGTTCTTGTGTGTGCTATTGACTTGTCGAATCGGCTTCCGCGGCGCACAACATATCGACCCTTCTCTTGCTTGTCTTCATGTGATTGTGGGACGCATACACTCAGCGTTTACTAAGGATGGTACTTATTAAACAGGAAAGACCTTATAGAGAGCATAATGACATATTTTATCTCCATCTATATCTCAAGTATCTTAATCACATGAAATACCAGAAATGCCCCTCTTTACACTCCCCCAGTCTGGAGCAATTATTCGTCAATTTTCAGCTTGTAACAAATGTATTCACCCTTTAATCCTTAAGACTCGTGCACAAAGCAGCTAACTGATCACGTACCTCACATGCGCCTCTCTCAATAACCTCATCTTAAGATTTTATCTCAAACAAATTGACAATAAATTGCAGCTTGATCATAACATTTCAGTCATAAAATTTGGTAATAGAAGAAAACTTCTTGCAAAAGCAATATTTCAATTGTCAGAACTTTAGATAAAAACCTTTTTTGTCTATATTAGTTTTAGACAAACTGGTCTGTGGAAATGGATTCATAAAGCAGGTGTAGGAACACTTCCACTAGCCATTTAGCACTATAGCAAGCAACATGTTTCATTCTCAAGTGGTAGATGTAGGCACTAAAAAATGCCAAGAAACAAATGAGCGTCGAAGCCCACAACAGACATGACGAGGGTCATCACAATGACGAACCTCGTCTCAGACAACAAAGCTTGTCATTGGAGGTGAAGTCCGAAGCTCGTTAGTGAAGACGAAGCTCAAACTCGTCAGTGAAGACGAAACTCAAACTCGACAGTGAAGATGAAGTTTTCTCAGAAGACGAAGCTCACCATATAGCGAAGCTCGCTTTGTTGGACGAACCTCACTGCGTACAAAGGTTCGTCTCGTCAGACAAACCTCGCCATGCAGCGAGGCCCGTCATACCAAATGAAGTTCGACAGTAACAGTCCTGAAGACCCAGTCAAGCCTCGTAGGAAAAATTTGAGGAGTCGGTTATGCCCCCTCAACCCCACATTCAGCACGTCAGTTACGCGTTAGAGGCTTATAAATAGCCGCAAGCTGCTATGAAGATGGGGCCATCTGGCAGCTTGGACGCGTACATACAGAGCTAGCACTCATATTCTGATAGCTCTTTTGAGACCCGAACCTCGGTTTTTGCTATCTAAGCCATCAACAGAGGCTGATTCTCCTCTCAAGTTGAAGCGATCTTGTTCTGATACGTCAACCGGAAGCAAACTCGACTCGAGCATCGAGTGAAGCATCCTTCCGCCACACAGAACCCATGTTAAACAAAAGGAGAAGTCAAATCACTCTTCTCCTCTTTTGTACTTTGAGAAAGAGCGATTGTAAAGAGATTCTTATAAAGTGATAGAATCTTGTTTCTAAAGATAAAACAGTTAAGAGAACCAATCTTTTTTTTAAATCTTTTTCGGGAACCTACAGTAGAACACTATAGTCTTAGGGAGTCATAGACTTCCTGGAATATGATTTAATGATTCAATAAGCAAGCAAGTGTAAGCTTCTACTCTAAATCAGAAACATAAATATACTAGTAGAAAACTAAGCATTGGCGACGGGGTATTGGCGACGGATTTGAAATCCGTCGCCAATACAAACATTGGTGACGGAACATTGGCGACGGGGTGGTTCCCGTCGCTAATGTTTGTATTGGCGACGGATTTCAATCCGTCGCCAATGATTTTCCGTCGCCCATAACCCACATTCGTCGCCAATACTTATTGGCGACAGATTCGATTCGCCGCAAATACTTATTGGCGACGAATTCGATCCGTCGCCAATACTTATTGGCGACGGATTCGAATCCGTCGCCAATAAGTATTGGTGACGGATTCGATCTGTCGACAATGTTCTGTCGCCAATACTTATTGGCGACAGATTTGAATACGTCGCCAATACTTATTGACGACGAATCGAATCCGTCGCCAATGTTTTTTCGTCGCTAATACTTTTGGCGATCCGTCGCCAATGCTAATGTGTCCATCGTAAAAAATTAACATTAGTGATTGATTATCCCATTGTTAATGAGTGGCCCCATAAAAAATTAAGAATTATTTTAATATTAGTCCCTCAAATCTATAATATTTTAAATGTAGTCCAATACTATTTTGTTCCACTCAGGTAGATGATACCTTGAGAGCTGAGGACGTGGAAGTCTACTATGATCCAGGACAGTTGTTTGGTGGCCTTCTCAAGGGCCCACTGTTCCCCTCTAGCTAGCGCCGCCATCGAGGAGGCTGTAACCGCAACTTTGTCGCTGGAGGCATGTCCCTTCTTCAGGGAGAAGTAATATATGCTTTCTGAATTTGAATTTGCTTGGAGAACGAATCTAGTAGTTTTCTTGTTAATAAATGAATGGATGTTTGATGCAAGTTTCCGATACTTATTACTCCCAATGAATGTATGAATCAAGTCTTTTATGAAAAAACTGGACATATGAATAAATAAGGGCTAAATTTCACAAACTACTCCTTCACTTGGGCCGTTTCTGTCATAACCATGTGAACTATTTTTAATGCCATGAAAGCTTTCTTAACTTGACATCTCGGATTCTCTACAATCTTGATTGTAAAGAATGCATGCAATTAGCATGAAAGCTTTCTTAACTTGACATCTCGGATTCTCTACAATCTTGATTGTAAAGAATGCATGCAATTAGTTAGGTGTGCTACTACTATTGGTCTCGGATTCTCTACAATCTTGATTGTAAAGAATGCATGCAATTAGTTAGGTGTGCTACTACTATTGGCTTTCTTAACTTGACATCTCGGATTCTGTCACAAGTTATTGTTTGTATTTTACATATATGGTGTGTTTATCTTACAGGAGATGTGAAAGAGCTTCTCAAATGCTCCAGTATGGATGTAATGATTCCTTCTGCAAAGCTTAAAAAATATGAGACTTAAGAACTAATTGATGAAAAGAGATACGGTGTAATGATTGGTAGTGGGAACCAATATGTTACATGTACATATTTTTAAGTTTTTTATTTTTGATTTACTTTTTAGGGTTTTTTATTTTTTATTTTCCTTTTTCATATATGAAAAATAAAAAAAATTATATTTGTCCCTCAAAATCTCGACAAACTCCTGACGTAATGGACCTTTTCAAACATATAATCATATTGATCTTGCTGATGATATGTTAGAACTTATCATAGACCTTTTCAATTAATTAGGAATTCTATGTTACTTTTAAAATTTATTTTTCTTTTATTCTATATGCTAGCAGATTCGATGACCTCCACTATTCTTGGCTTCATTTACGAATGAACTTAAGCCTGCAAAAATCATTAATGAATTTGAGAGGAGCTAAATGAGATTTAAGCACTAAAGCAACGGATGGAGGTAGTTTAGATAAAGTTCTTTTGGAGTTTTTATAAGGTTAAGAGGAGAAAGAGTCGTCGAAATGAAGTTAGAGCGAAGATGAGATAGCGAATCAAATGAGATAGTGAATTGTCTTTTCCATTTAAGCTATTTGTTTACTGTCAAATGAGATAGCGAATCAAATATGATTGAATAGCTGGATGAATAACATTGAATTGGATTGTTATACATAAGATTGCAGTTGATGGCAAATATAATCATTGGATTGTTATGGCAAATGTAATCATTGGATTGTTATACATAAGATTGCAGTTGATGAAAAATATAAAACATTTCAATTCAAATTGACGATAACATTGACGCCACGTGTAACTTATTAGTGGCTTAATATACTAACGGCCTCCCGTCAGCCTTTTTTTTTAGGGGCTGTTTGGTTCGCTATTATAAGGGGTGGAAAACTCAGAAAACCCCTCCACGTCAGCTTTTTAGCCCTCCACGTCAGCTTTTTTGTTTCCGTCCATTTCTTTGTGCCGCTTTGGTTCGCTCGAATGGAAGAGGGAAAACTCTGCAGAAATCGCCGCCAACTAAGATTTTTTTCCCTCTCCGATTTCCTTCCCCAACCAAGTAAAATTGATGAAAACTCTGCCACGTCAGATTTTTTTCCTTCTCTGCTTTGTTTACAAAAGTTTTCCTTTTTTTTCTATGCGAACCAAACACAAGAAAAATAAATACATTGGTTTCCCACCATTTTTTATGTGCGAACCAAAGCAAAACAATCTATTTCTTGGAAAAGTTTGGAAAACTCAAAACTTGTGTTTCTTTACATAGAATTGTATTTCTCTATATCAAGGAAACGAACCAAACAGCCCCTTAACTAAAACTCAAATATTTTCGCTTTCCCCCCAAAATATTTTTGCGTTCCCCCCAAAAATTTCCTCCTCCCCAAAATCGCCAACAAATCCCCTTCTCTATATCAAGGAAACGAACCAAACAGCCCCTTAACTAAAACTCAAATATTTTCGCTTTCCCCCCAAAATATTTTTGCGTTCCCCCCAAAAATTTCCTCCTCCCCAAAATCGCCAACAAATCCCC